TAGCCTATATTTTTCTGGGCTCAAAACATTATTTGACATAAAACCTCTAACATGACAACATCCTCACAAATTGACTAAATATCTAAAATAAAAATTAAAAGAAACTTTTAACATCTTAGTAGTTTAACAATTCTGTAACAGTTTGAAAGTAAATTCCAAAAATCTTTAATCGATGATAAATTTTCGCCAAGTCCGATTTAAAATAACTTACTATGTTTAAAACCACCAGTATTCTGGTCTAAATAAATTTCCGTGTACAGCTTGAAACTGCATGAAAACCCATTCAGTTCTTCCGGAGATTTGCGCTAACAAACAAACAAACAAACACACAGAAAACAATCCTTAATGGATGATTTACGTTCATTGCTCTTTATGTTATCGATATCTCTTTTTATAGTACTTCTTTCTCTTCAAGATACACACACACCTGATTCTCCTTCTATTTTATTAAATGTATTGATAATATTCGCTAGGCATTATACCAACATTTAAGAAAAAAATTAAGTTCAACGGAAATATTTCCCTTTCAACGAACATCTTTTCACAAGCATAAAAGGAAAACATTCAATGGCCCTAGCGAAAATGATGAAAGATTTATGTGGATAAATTTTATGCAAGAAACGATCTCGACTTGGTTGTAATGTCCTAAGAAGCGCCGGCGGCTGATTGAATTTGCAATCTAATCTTCAATCTAATCGGCCGCTTACTTCGTTTACCTGACATTGCATGGGCGACGATCGCTATTAATGAACTTATCTAAGCATCGCACGACAAATAATTTGGCGAAATATATAGATACCTACTGATCTGATCTCTAAGAAGATTAATACAAACGTACTGCATATTTCGGCGAAATACACTCCGTATTTCGTAAACAGGTCAATCTCCGAAATTAAATTCATGCGAACCATATTTCTATTTATCATTACTGGCAATAGGCACTTCTAAAGTTGTCACTTTTTTTACCCGGAAGAAATAAAAAAATAGAATATCCAACACTTAGTACGCTGACTTAGTTAAGGCGCTGTCAAATCACGATTTAAAATATGTTTTTAGCCGGTTGAGACTTGAGGACTTGAGGTAAAATTGAAAATCGCATAAAATATTGTTATTTTATTAATCATGTCGCCATCTGAGGTGGATGTATTTTCGAACAAAAACCGCGCTTTTAATAGCAGACCGAACAAAAAATACCCTTATAGTGCTGATTGGAATATTAGTCGAAAGTAATAAGACTATTCTATTGTCATCGGTCTTTGACATATGATATATGAGCACATTTTCAAGATAATCGGACGTTTTGAAATTGGTGAAATTACATTGAAAGATTCCGTTGCAGAGATGGATAGAGAGATACATATGTATGTATGCATCAAGCTAATAAAAGCTTACTATGGATAAGGAATCATTATCTTCTTTACTTACAGTATTTTTTGCTCTTAGTTATGTTATTTACATCACGAATTTATTATAAATATACACAAGCGAATACTAATGCATTCATTTACTGTACTGTAGTATTATAATTTGAAAGTCCCTTAAATTAATTCAAGAGTACAAGAATAAATTTTCGCAATAAAAATACTCAAAATAGAGAGGATTAACGTTTATCTATAACCAGAGGTACTCTTATTGTCTACACAAAATCTGAAGCTTAGCAAACTACAAAACGTCAAGACACGCATACATTTTGTTTGTACTAAAACAAAAGCTTTTTTTATTAGTCAAAAACAGTTAGTAGGTCTATATTAAAATATTGAGTATATTGTGTTCTATTGTCAAAATTTACTAACACTAAGCTGTTGATGGGCTCCGATAATTACTTAACACCAGATAGGCCGCGAACACGTCCACTGATTTAGTGCAACAATAATAATAATAAAAAAGGTGTAGCCGACGCTTGAAATAAATTTGTAGTCAATATTCTGATTAAAACTTCCGTGATCAATCTCATTTTATCATTTATAATTATTATTGTTTTCTGTATACCTAGAAACTAGTGTGACCAGAGTCATATTTGAATACCCTAACGGTTCAGAGAGAGCTTTAATAACACGCCGATAATGTTTTTGTACATAATTTATATTAAATGAGTGCACCGGCCAGACTGTATCGTGCTGTGATGCCACAAAGCGATGCCCGCAACGAGAACCATCGCCATTAACTCACTTTACCTATTATTTGACACGCAATCCAAGACATTCACTTTACATAAAACACTAATAAAACAGACTACATAAAAACTTCATCTGACCTCAACCTTACACATTTGAATGTGACAATGTGAGCGTTGCGTCAACAAACACGAGGACATTAGAATTATTACTTTTCTTTCAACACGTTGTCTTGCTACCTTACTTTTAGCCAGAGAAGAACTTCTGGTAAAAAAGAAGGAAAGAAAAAATAAAAGGCTAAAGAAAAAAAAGAAAAGGCAACCAAACTCAAACTCTTCAACTTATCTATTTAGTTATTAGCACCAAATTACCTGTAGTGTAACACAAACCTCTATTAGGTACCAAGAATTCGTACATATCATCAAAGATTTTCTATCAACGACCATGCGTCATACTGGGAGCTATATCACATTCATATTAGATTAAATTTATCAATGTCGTTTGTCACGAACGTCCGACGCTCTTATATCATATCTGATTTCGATTTTAACAATCGTTATGGAACCGAAAACCTGGTCAGTAATATGGTCCGGACAGTAAAGATTAATGGCATGCCAGTTGTTATGCTGTTACGTGATTTATTAACTTGAACCATGCAATTCAATGACGTGTCGAACGCGGTCGTAGCGTGCCGCTACGCTTAACACGTAGGCTCCTAGTCGCTACGACGTAGGCTAAATTTAACACGAAAAGATATAGCCGTCTTATTATTCGTAGGTCTTAATACATATATCTTCATAACAATACTACTATATTTACTAATTCAATGGCAATGCTTACATATTGTGACAAATTCTGTCATGAAATTCTGATTTTAAATTAATCCAGACGTACGGATGTAAATTCTTAATAGCAAGATAAATTTTCGATAGCGGTTCGTGCCTTATCGACATCGTCAGTTTTGCTGGCCACAGAATTTCAGCGAAGCTAAGTTAACTTGTTCAAGGTGCGCAAACTTATTTATCCATAGGATCGAATTTGTCCCTATAATCGGATTTTCTATAATAGCTTTAGATGAGTTATTAGTCCGCCGCTAATACTGACCTAGCCCCGGTATCGACGTCGGCTTAAATGGAAATAATATACGGAATGGATGCTCTCATAATATTATAAAAGTAAAACCGCAATACATCAGCTTATTTTTAATGCAGAAAATATCTCCACAAGCCGATTCATTGAAACGACCATTCTTAAAATTGAGCTGCTTTCCTTTTAAAAACGAATTTAATTTAATTTTAATATTTTTTCTGTTCTTTTTAGGAATATGAAAAACAAAGTAACTGCTATAACATTAACTTTTAATTAATTCAAACAGTTATGATATTACAAAGAATTACAAAGATAATTAGAAAGATATGTAATTACAAGAAGAAGAATTAAAATTTTAAAAATGAACATTAAAATAATAAAATGCTATCAAGCAATAAACGCTGACCTGTGCTTTGTTCAATAAATGGTCTCTTTTTGACGGAAAAGGGAGGCTGGTTCGACAACGGAAATTAATTACAATTCGTAAGGTTCATTAAGGCATCAAGCGACAGACCGAGTTCCCAATTTATCGATCCCGGCGCGGCACGCATCTGCTGTCTGCTCCCGAAACGGCCTCGTGGATGAAGCAAACGAGATAATAAAACAAAATTAAAGTATTAAACAGCCCCACACACAATAAAACCGGCTTAGGCCTTTAATTATGTACGTAACAAAGGTGGAATGGGTCGTTTTGAACAAATGGTACACCAAACGACTTCTTTCGGTTTGCGAGCAAATACATCTGGTTTTCGGAAGTTAATCACACGCGAAGGATGAATACTCGTATTATTGTTGTAACAAAAATAACAAAAAGTAAGTTGTGTTAAAACATTTTTCAAAAAGAACTAATTACCTGGGTGTTAATAAAATCAGTGTTGTTTACTTAAGTAAGCCTTTACACGCATTTGGAAATCATCATAACTTTACCAACGATTTGGAATATAGTTCCACGGCGGAAAAATATCTGCACGAAACAAAAGACTTGTTCTTTTCCAATAAATCGTCACACAGTAATTTACTAAATTTATCCAATAAACATGGCTAGAACTATAATAGGTCTACATTACTGAGCAGTGAGTGATCAATGATCTGTTTACTACCGTGTATACCACTATTTCAAAGTCAAGTAAATAAAAATATAAATGTATTGCTTATTGCTTAGATTGGTGGACGAGCTCACGGCCCACCTTGTATTAAATGGTTACCGTCTACAACGTAAATGCTGTCACACACCTTGAGACATGACTTCTTAGTCTCAGTTTTATAGTATAACGGCTTCCCTACCCTACCAAAACGCATTACTTCTTCACGACATAGATAGGCAGGGTGGTGGTGGTACCTACCAGTGTCGCAATTCACAAAATGCCCTAACACTAATAATTAATTATTTAAATTATGTAGGCTATCATAGAGTTACTTCATAAAAATAATGTATTTTATGAAGTTAGCAATAACTCGAAGTGTGGCCGGGTTTCACGAGCGCTTTAATGAAAAATCCGTTCTATTACAAGAGCCGGTTGGTGTTACCGAATTAAAACTCTCAGATTTCTTCATTTAATTTTATATGTTGAAATAAAATGGAATTGTACTAGACCCTCTTCCGAAACAGAGATCGAAAGTTTTAGGAAAATATAATTTTTATTCATTTCAAAATTGACGAAAGGCATAAATTTAATATTAACAACATAAATACCGCATAAAATTACATCACAAGAATATCGAATGTTGTGGTTAAAATCCATTTATACTGCGTCCCTTTACCAGACGAGGGTTGTGACGTAATTTGCGGTGCATTACCTTTCAATTGGATGCGTCGGAACCAGCACGACCTAATATGCTCCATTGTTGCGACCTACTCGTCCGATGCCGACAGCTACTATCTGAAAGAGAAATAAAACTGCTGTATATCTCTGGGAAAACGTTATTTCTTACTAGCTGACCCGGCAGACTTCGTACTGCCTCAATCGATAAATAAAAAACCTAAACTTTTGTATAAAATACACTTAAAACAGACAAAATAATCCATCCGACGGGGAACATGAAAGGGAAAACAAAATTATTATTTTTATTTAATTCTCAGTATTTTCATATTTATCTACTTTTTAAACCTTCTCTGGACTTCCACAAATAATTCAAGACCAAAATTAGCCAAATCGGTACAGCCGTTTTCGAGTTTTAGCGAGACTAACGAACAGCAATTCATTTTAAGTAATTTATTTTCATTTTTAAGATAAGATAACATACACTCTAAGGAAAAAGTAAAGTACAACAATGTTAATGTTTTATCTACGAGTATATTGCTTGCTATAAATACTACTTTTTTATTGCTAATAATGGACAAGCGACCCCACAATTCATTCATAATATTAAGTGGTTATCGAAACACCAAACATAGCAATCGATTGATATCTACGTGTGGGTACGCTTGTAGTTTGGTACAAAGGTGGGTATCATCGGTTATTAAGAAATCAACTTATTAAAATTCACACACTCTTCAATTTTAGATGCAAAATTTCATACATTTAGATTATACTAGAGGTCCCGCAGTAGTCGAAATTCGACTATAATTAATTGGAATTGTAAGTTTGTACACTATTATGATTGTATTTTATACTTCTATAATCACAAATTTCGCCAAGACTACACTATAAAAAATATTAAGAAAGACAAACCATATTCTATTCTCAATTTGACAACAGACGTCAAGAACAAAAGTTTGACAATAAATAGTATGCATGCGTGTGTGTGTCAAATACATGGTATGTAGTGTGTGTGATGTTTTCTTTATTGATTTAATGTATCTTTTATGCATTATTTTTAAAAATTCTTAGCTTTGTGCACTTCTTCTATATATTCTCTATAAGTGTGTAAAATTTCATACTCCTCCATCCGCGCAATTTTCTTAAAAAGGGATACAAAGTTTTTGCTTCACGTATTAATATATAGATAATGACAATGAATGAATGAAATGAATTTTTTGTAAATTTGTTTTCCTTTGTTGATTACTTTGATAATGTGTCACAAGTTATCCAACCGAGACAACATTATTCGACACTGAAACTCGATTGGATTTTGCAGTACCCGAGATCAGATACTATTGTTAAGCTAAGATGAGCAAAGACAAGAACACTTCCCGATCCGATTTATCTCTTCGCTCTTTCACAAATAGTTTTAAGACAAGATTTTAGGTTATAGGAAACGTATTTTTTAGGACATTCAGCTTTTCTTTTATCTTTCAAATTACTTCTCATTCGTGAGGTAATAAATTTATCGACATTCTTCTCTTTCTAAATTGTGTTATAATCAATAGGACAAAATTTGTCACACTTAAAATCAATGAATGTCCCGTCATTCGTCTGAAGTCCTGAGAGTCGTTGACTATGGATTATGCCTAGTCATGTCTGTTCAATAACCACTTAGCACCAAATGGCCCGTAAGCTCTTCTATAATTATGTAAGCAAATTGTTTCAATTAAAGTCTTCACAATCAGCGAGAACATTTTCTGCTGGACCTCCTGAGTCTCCGGAGGGACTTCTGTTCTCTCCGGGTTTTGTACCATTGTATCGTATGTTCCATAAGGACTGCTCTAAGGAATTGTTTTAGATGATCCCATCATCTCCAATTTTTACTGGTGATAGGACCTCTTGTGAGTCCGCACAGGTAGGCATTACCCTGCCTATTCCTGCCGTGAACCAGTAATGCGTTTCGGTTTTAAGGGTGGGGCAGCCGTTGTAACTATATCGAGACCTTAGAACTTATATCTCAAGGTGGGTGCCTCATTTACGCTGTAGATGTCTATAGGCTCCAGTAACCACTTAACACCAGGTGGGCTATGACCTCGTCCACCCATTTAAGCATTAAAAAAAATAAAAAATCTCGTTTTTACCATTGCACCTCCCGACACCGAAAGAGTTTATCCATACTACCTAGAAACACTGTGTTCATCCACGGTGCGTTTTCAGGAATATTTTCTGCTACGCACCAACCCGCTTTGTAATGAACTTCCTTCTTTGCGTTTCCTAAGCGCTTTGACATGTCTTTCTTCTAATAAGGTTTACTCTTACTGCGGTACGCAGCAGCTTGGCTATGCCTCTGGTACTACTAATCCATGAGAGCTATAACAACTCACTATCAGGACAGCCGTAGGGTCGTCTGGATGATACTGATTTCATTAGGGTGATAAAAAGTAAAAACATTGTCATTGCTGTCTTTGTTCAGCAATGATACTTGTCCTGTATAAGTTTCGCGGAACCATTGATTAGTAGTGTCTTCAGAAGGAATGTGTCTTTGAACGCTATCGTGTAAAAGAATCGTGCGGAAATGATCTCGTAATATTTCAGTGGGCCACAAAGTTCAATTTTTCTCATACACAAAAAATTAAATTTAGAATGTTCCTTTTATTCTCTCTCAAATAATCTAATTTTATATTTAGGTAACACTAGGTAACACTCTGTTATTTGCCAGTATCTCACAGTGGAAAAGTTTTTGCGCGGCCAAGTAATTAGCTGATAGCCTTGGAACTTAATGTGGTACATTAAATCGTAACTAATGCCGATCACAAAATAATGCGATGTTGAATAAAAACAAAAAACGCTATCTTTAAAGAAAAAAAAAACTATTCCAAAGCATACTCGTAGATGTCGGCGCAACGTTACTAAAGATTTGTTAAAGTTAACTGTTTCCTTAATGTTTCTTTAATTAAACAGTTGTTTAGATGCGTAACATTACTACAGTCTACTGGTATTCAAGAGAATCCATGACTAAGCTACTCCCACTTTCTACTATAAATACGATACTATTGTCGTACAAAACTTGCACCTCTACAAAACTTGCATACGCCCCTTCATGACGTATGCAAGCGTAGTGTTCGCTCACGCAGCCCGCACTAACTTGAAACCCCTTCAGGTTATTCAATCCCGATTTTGCAGGATAGCCGCCGGAGCACCACGGTTCCTGAGGAACGTGGGTCTCCATGATGACCTGGAACTCGATTCAGTCAATAAGTATCTACAGTCGGCATCATTGCGCCACTTTGAGAAGGCGGCACGACGTAAGAACCCTCTTGTCGTGGTCGCTGGTAACTACATACCCGAGTCTTCATAAATAAATATGCATTAGAGATCATCCAGTCCTTACAGCATCAATACTAATTAATTACCTGCTTACATTGAGGAACATTAGGCGTTTATCCGCATCATAGCACAAATACACAGCTTACGAAATAACTTATTTATAAGTAGTAAATTAACGGCTGTGGTGAAGGGAAGCGAGCGTTTCGCCTTTTCCGGAACTCAGTTCACGCAAAATGGCAGAACTTCCGTTGAGACCAACATGACCTAAATACGTCAATCCTTGAGAATTATAATTTTCTGAGCAAATTTTGGATTCTCCACCGCAATGTTACGGCGATTAACACAATACTTGCTGAAATTGAAGATATCCGTTTTGTAAATTAAAGTTTTCCGTGTAGAAGATGTCATACCTATCATTATCTAGCCCACTGAGTTTCTCGCCGGATCTTCTCAGTGGGTCGCATTTCCAATCCGGTAGTAGATTCTGGGAAGCACTGTTCTCGCTAGGGCCAGTATTAGCAACACCTCCTGTTTGAACCCCGAGAGCTCACCTATACGCTAGGGAAACGCTGATATAGCCTCTCAAGGCTATCAGCATAGGTAGGAAAAAAATCATTATCTTTAACATACACACATAGTGGACATGATTAATCACGGATTAATCCACTGATTAGATCGCGTGTGGGAACTCCGTGTATACCCATAATATCACTATAAATTATTAAACACAAAGTGTATAGAATTAACTCTATTATATTCCGAAACAGTAATATAAACCGTGTAGAAAGTTTTAAGTACAAACTATAAATCCAGCCCTTACTTCTTCACTGTTGGACCTTACAGCTCTCGTGTTAGAAGTTTGAAGCCTCTCACAAAGTTTTCAAAAGCACTTGCAGAAATCAGTCTACTGAAAATAACTCTCACGAACAAATAGGATAGACTCAGTTTCTACTTTAAACTTAAATGATATAATTTAGCATAAAATTTTCTATAACTATTTAAAATTTATCAATTTGCTCATCGCCGCAAAAAAGGCGACGAAAACGCTAAATATACCAGTAATTATACACATCAGTGACATTAAAATGTTGTATCTTTTCATTTTACACATAAAAGTTATATTTATTTAGAAAAACAAAGAAAAGTATGTGCTTCCCTCTAATGGCACGTGACGAGAAGGCACTCGTAATCCCTATACGGTGTACGTGCACGAAAATACTAATGATAGCGCATCAAAAAGTAATCGTGGCGAGTGTTTGCTTTTACAATATATAAACAACACACTATCAACCTCTTATCTACAACATCCAGATTTACTTTTTTTTTATTTTTTTTTATTGCCTTTGTAGGCATACGAGCGTACGGCCCACCTGATGGTAAGTGGTTACCGTCGCCCATGGACTTCAGCAATGCCAGGAGCAGAGCCAAGCCGCTGCCTACATCAGAGCCAAGCCGCTGCCTACAGCAGAGCCAAGCCGCTGCCTACAGCAGAGCCAAGCCGCTGCCTACAGCAGAGCCAAGCCGCTGCCTACTTGCATTCAATGTTTTTTTTTTCAAAGCTTACTTTTCGTCGTCAAGCTGAAATGTAACGAAATATTTGCGTAGATGAGTCGTCTATTATCAAAGGTGGCAATCTGTGCATTTGGACAAAAAAATGTTATTGATATGTCAATACAGATTGATTTGAATATAATCGTCTCCTTCAAAGAATACGGTTCAAAACCTGCATTAAATAAAGTATTAACTTAACCTGTTATTTATCTAAGATGTCGTTCAGAAGAGTTTTGTGACTGCCAATGGAATACAAA